GGCTAACAGCAAGGGATAAAACTGTTCTAATGATTTTTAATTCAGTAACTAGTGCAAAGGTTTATTCTGTGAATCCTAGTGTTATTAAGTTTAGTAACTAGTGCAAAGGTTTATTCCATGAATCCTAATGATATTTGGTTTTGTAACTAGTACGAAGATTTATAGTGCTGTTCTAATGATTTTTAATTTAGTAAGGGCTAAGCATGGCTAAGAGCAAGGGATAGAAGTTCTAGTGATTTTAAATTTAGTTTACCCTTAGGAAAACTAGTAATTTCCTAAGTTCCACACTTCTTTCCGAGCTTGGCGATTCTTCTACTATTTTGAATCAATTGGGAGGATTCTCCTCGATCATAATTTTTCCGGAGTTTAGGATCTTGGACTTTCAATGGATTTGAATTTTCTTTTTGTTTTCTCTTTTGTAGACAATAAGCTTGTCTCATACGGATTGGATATATATATATATATATATATATATATATATATAAAATAGTTTTGAGTATCATTCAGAGCGTTATGAGTATCCATTATTTGAGTGACCTCTTAAGGTTGCTCACTTGATGGCGTCTAGTAATGAAAGGAAGGTTGTGGCTCGATCAGAGGACCCCTCTTTGTTCAATTCTTAAAACTCCAAACTTATGGGATGGACATTTTGGTGTTTTGGTAAGAGTATGTTAGCATATTTATCTGCTAATATTTTTGTCTAAGTTCTAAATATATTATTTGGTCTTAATTTGAAAATTTTGCTGCTGAACTCACCTAGCATCGCTTTGCAAATACTCCACTCCACCTATGTGGATTTTATAGACAAATGTTGTTTATAATATTGAACTTGGACATAAAAAGATAAAAGGCTTTTGGGTAAAAAGAAAAACAAGGTCATTTTTTGTTTTTTTTTTTTTGTTTTTTGGAATATTATATTTATATATGCTCTAACATAAATGTCATGTACTCCAAAAAAGAAAAAACGTATATGTCATGGTCATCTCTCAGGAACAGCATATGCAAGAAATAGGCAAGGATCGCATTCATTTTGTCATCATATGATTGTCCAGGATTTCAATATACTTGATTTGCATACTCAGTAAAAAATAAATAAATAAAGTATGTGTACTTGATGTATGTTTCTCTTCCCTAATTCTTTTTTTTTTTTTCATTGGGGCTAGGGTGTTATAATGTTACATAGCTGGTTTGAAAACAATATTTTTTCAGGTTGAAGAGTTGTACTCGTTGGATCTTGACTCTCTTAACAATATGAGGCATGTATGGTGTTTGATTTTTGTGTTTAATATTTTATAAATAAGACAAATGTATTTTAATCTATTCCATCCTATTATAATCTTCAGGCCTGTGTATGGGTTGATATTTCTATTCAAATGGCGTCCAGGGGACAAAGATGATCGTCTTGTTATTAAGGATCCCAACCCAAATCTATTTTTTGCGAGTCAGGTCAGCATGATATCGAACATGGAAAGCCTTCACTTATTAAGCGATAAGTAGGAATGTATAGCTTCTTTGGTTGACTTTTGCTTACTTTCAGTCCTTTTTCTCGTGTCACAGGTAATTAACAATGCTTGTGCAACTCAGGCAATCTTGTCTATTCTGATGAATTGTCCGGATATCGACATTGGCCCAGAATTATCCAAGTTGAAGGATTTTACGAAGAACTTCCCCCCAGAACTCAAAGGTCTGGCTATTAATAATAGTGAAGCTATACGTACCGCCCATAATAGTTTTGCAAGGCCAGAACCCTTTGTTCCTAATGAGCAAAAAGCTTCTGGCAAGGATGATGATGTGTTCCATTTTATAAGCTACTTACCTATCGAGGGGGTACTTTATGAACTTGATGGGTTAAAGGAGGGACCTATTAGCCATGGCCCTTGCCCCGGCAGTCCAGGTGATCTAGAGTGGTTGAAGATGGTTCAGCCCGTGATTCAAGAACGCATTGAAAGGTACTCAAAAAGTGAGATAAGATTCAACCTCATGGCCATAATCAAGAATAGAAAAGAAATGTATACTGCTGAGCTTAAGGAGCTCCAGAAGAAGAGAGAGCGCATCTTGCAACAGTTGGCTGCCTTGCAGTCAGAAACAATGTTGGAAAATAGCAATAATGAGTTCCTAAACAAATCGCTATCAGAAGTAAATGCTGGGATTGAGGGTGCTACAGAGAAAATATTGATGGAAGAAGAAAAACTCAAGAAGTGGAGAACTGAAAATATCAGAAGGAAACACAATTACATACCCTTTTTGTTCAACTTCCTGAAGACTCTTGCGGAAAAAAAACAGTTGAAACCCCTTATAGAAAAGGCTAAACAGAAAAGTAGTGGCCCCAGATGAAGTTTGCTTCTTATGGGTCACTATTGTATTGTCGTTTGTAGGTAGTGTACCTTTTTGGTGTTCTTACCTTACGCTACAGATTATCTAATCGAACTCCTTGTCTGGTGTCAATGTGTACAAGGATCTATTTATTTTTTGAATGTACACTTGATGATCTTCATGTTTTTATTACTCTGGTGAAAAAAGGTCTCTACACTTGATCTTCGTCTTTTAATTACCAGGACTTTTCATTTACTCACCTTATCGTTACATTTGTGTATTGTTTTTCTTTTTCTTTTTTGTTTCTAATTGTTATATCATCATGTCAACTATCTCCTTCTAGGGCCTCTCTTGTTTGCCTTGGGTCATTATCGGATTAACTTAAGTTGTTGTTCATGTGTCGTAGCAGAATTTGGAGTTCGAGATGTTTGTTTGCTCAATTTGGAGTTTACCAGTCTCCATTGGTAAAGATTGATTGTAGTTGTTAACAAGGATTGTCATTGTTTTCATCCCTCTAGCCCAACGACGACATTTAAGCTCCAATCAATGACAAAAGTATTGTCGAGTAAACATTTTGTGGTTGGCTTGTTATGAACCGTTTTTTAAGTCTTTGACTCAAAATTTAAACACAGAAAATGGTAGATTTTTTTCGCGTTTAAAAACAAAAAAATACAAGACTCGATAAATAGGTCTTTGACATAATAGTACACCATCTGAGTCCGCTAGTTTGCTGACTCTATATCTTATTTAAGTTAGGGTCCTCTTGTTGGGAGTCGATAATACTGGCTATACTGTGAGTCAAGTCATTTGTGCTATAACTCCCACAATCACTACAGTTATGTCAACTCACTTGAAGTCTGCTTGTACTCATGACTCCCTAGTAATGAAAGCAGACGAATGTATCGTTTTACGACTTACGGCATCTGCAACCACGTTTGCCTTTTCAAGGTGGTATTAGACGTCCATATCTTAGTCTTTCACCAATTCTAACCACCTTCGTTGCCTCATGTTCAGTTCTTTCTAGGTGAATAATTATTTTAAGCTTTGGTCGGTGTAGATTTGGGTCTTTTCTCCCTACAGGTCGCCAAATCTTTAATGTGAACACTACTACGACCAATTCTAGGTCGTGTGTGGGATAGTTCTTCTCATACTCTTTCAACTGACGGGACGCATACACTGCAACTTTACCATGTCGCATCAATATACATCCTAGTCCCTTCTTGGAGGCATCACTGTATATCACATACCCCTCTGAACTTTCTAGTACTATGAGCATTGGAGCTAACACGAACCTCCGTTTTAAGTCTTGGAAACTCGTCTCACATGCCTCATTCCATGCTATGCCCTTCTTCGTCAGCTGTGTAAGGGGTGGGCTATTCTAGCAAAGTCTTGCACAAACCTTCGATAGTATCCTGCTAACCCCAGAAAGTTTCGTACCTCTGTAACTGCAGTTGGTCGTTCCCACTTAGTGATGGCTTCAATCGTAGAGGGTCTATGAAGTTCCATCTTTTGACACCATATGTCCCAAGAATGAGACTTGTTCTAGCCAAAAGTCACATTTAGAAAACTTGGCGTACAACTTGTTCTCCCTCGAGATGGTTAGGACTTTTCGGAGGTGTTCTTGGTGCTCTTGTTTTGTCCTCGAGTATACTAGAATGTCGTCTATAAACACGATAACAAACGTGTCTGGACACTCCTTGAGTACTCGGTTCATTAACTTCATGAACCCAGTTGTGGCGTTGGTGAGGCCAAATGATATCACTACAAACTCGTAATGGTCATACCTTATTTGAAAGGCTGTCTTCGATACATCTCCTTCTTTGATCTTAATTACATGTTAACCTGACCAAAGATCTATCTTGGAAAATATCGTCGATTCTCGGAGCTAGTCGAACAAATCTTAGAAGCGAGGGAGTGGGTGCTTATTTTTTACTGTTCTCTTGTTTAACTCCATGTACTCAATGCACAAGCACATCGAGTCATCCTTCTTTTTCACAAACAACACCGGCGCACCCCAAGGAGATACACACCTTGATAAATCACCGACAATCACTAGCTGTTACAAATAATATACTTCTCTGTAAATTTACTGCATATATTAAATAGTGTTCGATTTCTTAATAAAATTCAACATCTTATCATATATAAATCAATCTCTTTAATGTTAATTCAAGTGTTCATTGGAGTCCTTATTCACCTTTCAATTTTTATTGTCGTTCTACTGCACATTCTTAACATTCTCATCGCCCTTTGTTAAGAAATTTAAACTTCTAACCTTTTGATCAATAATATATATAAATTCCAACTAAATTATACTTACTAGTTAGTGTTCTACCAAAAAAATTTTTAGTAATAATGAACAATTACATAGTGTTGGCAAGTGTTTAAATAGATGTTAGATGATGCATAATCAATATATATTCCAAGATTGTCAATTGAAACCTCTACCCACCACGTTATCAATACCACTTCTTATATTCAATTTCAGGCTACACGGACTACCTGTACGAACATAGACACAACATCGTATGCTGAGGAGATCAATCAACCTTTACACATGAAAAGAGCCGACACTAATTCAAGATGTTCAAAAGTAATTAAAAATCCATTGCTCGAGTAACAACCTGCGAAAGATGCACAATGAAAAGCTGCAACGAGTAAAGTCAGAAGGAAGAAAGGCACCAAAATTTAGAAAATTGCTTGGCCACTGCCAATACTAAGCCAACCCAAACCCCATAAAAAAAAATATACAATTACCATACCGCAAAAAAATCTGCAGGGTCGTGCAGGTCAACGACCAAAAGATACAAATCCGAAAGACTTACGATTTTTCTTTTCATTCATCTGATGATGCAAAAATACGAACCAAATTCAAAATTCTTTTGCGTTTGTACAATCCAAAAAGTACTCGTGCAGGTCCTTTAAGGCCTTTAAATCTCTTCACTTCCTCCATTGATATACATTCTCACCAAAACGTTCTACAAACTTGAACCCAAATCCCAATAATCAATCAAGCCACCTATAGCCACTACTGCTTGCTTGTTCATCAACTAGAATATGTGGACGAGATAATATGCAAAACAATGAAGTGTATGAGATGATATGCAAAAGAAATAATACACTGAAATGAAGAGAAATTGTTACCTCGTAAAAAGTATAGATACTCCACATCAGGTGATTGAAATCTGAGTAATGAAATCAAAAATCACTTTCAACAGACGACCTCAACATTGTTTACTCAGGGCATCTGCAATTACATTTCTAGCTTCATTGCACAATGCTTCTGGATCAATTCCGACGACAGGCTTGTGGATAACGACTTTCACGGATCCCATATTCAAGATCCCTTCAAATCCCGGTGGCATAATGCTACCAGTTCCCATGAGTGTAATGGGTACAACGGGCACTTTGGTCTTTGCTGCAACACTGAATGCTCCTTTCTACAAACCATACATTTTTTGAAAATTAGAAGATATTTAATTAGAGAAAACTATGCATGCAAAAAGACACAAACAGATTTTTATGCTTTTTAACCAATTGTATCTAACAATGGTTTGAAATATGATGTTCAGTTACCTTGAAAGCACCTAATTTTCCATCTTTACTACGTGTTCCCTCAGGAAAGAAAAATACAGATGCACCCTTCCTTATAAGCTCCATGCACTGCTTCAGACAGTCCTTCATTAAAAAATTAACAAACTTTGAAATAATAACCCAGGAACATTCTTAACCATGAAAAAAGGATACACATTTCAAAGGTTCCAACTAATAAACTGTGCAAAGTCCAAACAGATTATGAAAGAAAGTACCAATTGGCTTCTGCTATCCATGCGCTTCAAAGGAATGACACCCATCATAAACATAGCCCAACCAATAATTGGAAAGAGAAATATTGCAGTCTTGCTAATGAACTTAAAGCTTCTGCCAAGGGTAAGAAGTGTATATATGTCTAGAAAGCTCTGATGGTTGGAAACGTACACAGCAGGAGAATTTGAAGAGGGCAAATTCTCCAACCCTTCATATTTGATCCTAAAAAATGGAGCGATGCTCAAACTTGCCCACATTTTAGCAATTGTATAATGAATTCTTCTGCGGTATCTATCCATCAATAACACAATTGGATGTGCCACCAGCATAAGCATAAAGAGAAAAATAGCTGTAATTGCAGTAGTAGCATAAAAGCATGCTCCTCTGACTTTTGAGCTCAATGGTACTTCTGCACTTTAGGTAGTCAAAAACAAAATAAAATTGGAATTAGACAGATAAGATAGCAGGTCAAAACAAAAGAAAAAGGTACAAAACGGAAACAAAAGTCATCCAAGAGAGACCTGATAATGGATAACCAGCTTCATGAGTTCCCATTTTTGCAACTCCTGACCTAACAAGGACGTACCGGGGGTTTCTTTTTCCACTAAGCAGTTTGTTGTACCAAGGATTGTATAGATTTTTGTTCGGAGTAAGATAACACCAAGAGACGCCAGCACATTTTCTGACGATGGATGAGAAGCAATAACGTTGAGCTGTAGATCATGGGGAAACATCAAATCCTTGGCTAAAATTAACTTTCTATATGAAAATTATAACGAAACATATTGTTTACCAAACCCATACATCAAATTTCCACACATTCTCCGAAGAACAAAATTTATGTAGCATTTCATGAAAATATTTGTGTCAAAATAACATGCTATTGCAACTGAATCAAATGAACTGTGGGTCTTTCCTTGAAGGAAAATTCATGCCAATGAATCATGATTCAAATATATCCAGAGTGTTTTAAAACCCCATTGATTCCCTGATGACAAAGTCAAGATGTATAGAATTTCTTGCATGGTCGTAGAATCAGCAGGTGATCAAAAGAATTGCAAATAGAACAAAATTAAATGAGCAACGATCGATAATTTTAATATTTCACTAGTAAGTGATCAAGAAAAATTTACCCATGAACAATTGCACAGCATCCAACACATTTCACTTCACATGTGAGCAAACTATAGGCAAAAGTTCTGTGATATAATCTCTTCTGGTGTATCTATTCGAGGATGAAAAACAACTATACTTGATGATGAAATGATAAAGCATGAATCATTTTACAATATTGAAAAGGTTATAAATTTCCGTTGGTCTAGGCCAGTAAATGCTGCTAAAATACCATTGTAGAAAAAGGTAGTGAAAACTATTGAGCCGCACAAAAAAAAGTGTCATGTTAAAGTTAAGTTCTTTTACAGAAGAAATTAACTAGAAAAAGATTTCTTAGCGAGGAATAACTTACCAGCATTTCTCAAATTTGCTTGTTGATGTAGAGAGGACCTATATCGAAGACCCCTAGACGAATTAATCTGCAATTGAAGTGTTAATTAACATTCTCATGATTCAAAATAAATTAATACTAACAATGCAAAACACCAAGATGGGCATCTCTCTCTACTTCCCCCTCTCTCTTCTCCATCCCATTCTAGTGACCTCACCACCCTTCACCATGCTTCTACAACCGCCCTCTTCCTCGAACATGGTTGTTTCAACCAGTACAGCCAAATGCGCTATTGAGTGAGCACAAGGTGTTTATCCTTGAAGGGTGCATGAATAGAAGAAGCCAGTAAGGTAGAACACCAAACAACCTTGATCTTTAAAAACCAATGACCGAGAATCTCTTTGCTAAACTAGGTTGAATATCATGGAGGAAAATCATTATGAGTAAATAAAATTTAACTCGTTGTGAATGGATAGCACAACTTAAAGGCACTTCCAGTTTAAGAGGTCCCTGGACTTATATTGTCAGTGTTATTCACTAGTAATTATTTTGTCAATAGATGAGGAATCTCCAACAAAATCCAAGGGATTTTTGTGGTTTTTTTTGTTTTTCGCAACTCCCCTAGGCTTCTGTGAGAGAATCCTCATTCCCCCACCGTTGTCACTCCTTTTTCATAATAAAGTTTGTGTCCATTTCATAAAGCAATTCAAGCCCAATTACGGAATTAGAAACACAAAATATGTAACAGTCCAAGCCACCGCTAGCAGATATTGTCCTCTTTGGGCTTTCCTTTTCGGGCTTCCCCTCAAGATTTTTAAAACGCGTCTGCTAGGGAAGGGTTTCCACACCCTTATAAAAAAAAAATTTGTTCTCCCCAATCAATGTGGGATCTCACAATCCACCCCCTCCGGGGCCTAGCGTCCTTGCTGGCACTCATTCCATTCTCTAATCGATGTGGGATCCCCTAATCCACCCCCTTCAAGGGCCAACGTCCTTGCTGGCACACCGCCTCATGTCCACCCCCCTTCGAGGCTCAGCCTCCTCGCTGGTACATCACCCGATGTCTAACTCTGATACCATTTGTAACACCACTAATTTTCTTAACCTCATTAGTGACATCAACCACGCATGCTTAAGTCATATATGCGAAAATTTATAATAAACATCTTTAAAATAAGGTCATGACGTGCATAATAAGCTCAAAACATGAAATTCAACCGTTTTAAACAAATCGTGGTTTAATCTGACCTATCAAACTAAGAGTACAATACCTAACAACTACTAACTGAAACTCAATGTGACCTATCATCTACTAATTTAAAATTCAAAACAATCACTACCCCATTATGCTCTAAATTGACTTGCATGGTCTTCCCAATGTTCACCGTCATCCTTGCATAGGAGCTTTTCCTTTACCTGAAAAGTCCTCAATAACTCACCCCACTGTTGCTTCCCTGAACTGATCGAATAAGTCCTCAATGCGCGGAAGGGAATACTTGTCTTCACCGTTCTTTTGTTTAGCTCCCTAAAATCGATACACAAGTACATCGAGCAATCCTTTTTTTTTAACAAATAACACCGGCACACCCCATGAAGATACATTGTGTCTAATAAATCCTTTATCCAATAGCTCATGTAGTTGTGTCTTAAGTTCTTTAGTTCAGCTGGCGCCATATAATACGGGGCCTTAGAGATAGGACCGGTACTTAGGACTGGTACTTGGTTCCAGCTCTATTCCAAAATCAACATCTCGTGACGGAGGAATTCCTGGCAAATCCTTTGGGAACACATCTGGGAATTCATTTGCAACTGGCACTGGGGCTAAGGGAGTTTCTTCCTTTTCGATATTCACGACACTGACTAGTATAGCCCACACTCCGTGGTGAACTAACTTTTTCGCCTTCATCATCGATATCACTTTAGGCATAACTCCCAAACACGTACCCTTGAAGTTGAAACTAGTCTTGAACGGTGGCGTAAACACTTCTTTCTTGTAACAATCTATGCTAGCATGATTTTCTGCTAACCAATCCATTCCAATATTACATCATAAACAGTTATGTCAACTACCATTAGATCTACCTCTAGGCTAACTCCTGATATTATCACATGACCATCTTTTACTTTATAAACACCAATCAAATCCACCCCTATCGGGGTGCTAATAGAGAATTCATGCAACAAAGGTTCTAATACAAATTTTGCTTAACTAACGAAAACAACAGATAAAAATGAATCCGTAGATCCCGACTCAAACAGTGTTAAAGCAAGGTGACCAAGAACGGATAGTGTACCTGTCACCACTGCATTAGGATTTTTAATCTCCTTACTGGCAGAGGCATAAGTTCTCGTTGGATGACGGTTCTGAGTAGGACGATCCGCAATGCTCAGTCCCCTCTGCTAATTTCCAGAATCATTCGCGCGACCTCATGGGCAGTCCTTGGCCATGTGACCCTCCTTTCCACATCGAAAGCAGGCTCTGGTGTATGCCAAACATTGACCCAGTAATTCTTCCCACATTCATAACATTTGGGTCTGTTATCTGGTCTACTTTCATTCTTTTATTGACCACGCCTAGAATCTCGATGTCTGTTAGGTCATTGTTGTGGCTGTGATGAAGGTGGATCTTGACGATCAACCTGGTCATGACATCGCTTCTGTCCCACAATCGGTGGAGGTTCTCAAGATTCATCAACCCCCTCCATGGCCTTAGCTACTCTTAGGGCGGAAGCATATGTATAAGGCACTATCATCTCAACTGTACGGCAGATCCTCTTGTCCAATTCTAGTATGAACCTCTGTGTCGTTTGATAATCGGGGTTCACCAACTCTAGGGCGAAGCGTTTCATTCTCGTAAACTCCCTGGCATAAGTGGTAACAAAACGCCCCCTTTGACAGTTGTGTGAATTCTTGCTGCTTACGAAATTGAGCATCCTCAGGGTAGTACTCCTCCATAAAGGCATCCTTGAATTCCGCCCATGAGATTACACCTCCCTCAAGACTAATAATCTCACGGGTGGACTGCCACCATAATTCTGCATCCTCTCGCAGCATGAACACTACACATTGCACCTTCTGATCATCTGGACGGTTCAGCACCGGTCTTATCTCTTAGCGATATCGATGATGAAGGCGAAAAAGTTAGGTCAGCACAGAGCGTGGGCTATACTAGCCAGCACCGTGAATACCAAAAAGGAAGAAACTCTCTTAACCACAGTTCCAGTTGCAAATGAACTCACATATGTGTTCTCAGAGAATTTGCCTGAAATTCCTGCGTCACAAGATGTTGATTTTGGAATAGAGTTGGAACCAAGTATCGGTCCTATCTCTAAGGCCCTGTATCGTATGGCACCAGTTGAACTGAAAGAACTCAACTAGGAGCTGTTGGATAAAGGATTTATGAGACCCAGCGTATCTCCCTAGGGTGTGCCAGTGTTATTTGTTAAGAAAAAAGGATGGCTCAATGCGCTTGTGCATCGATTACAGGGAGCTGAACAAAAGATCAGTGAAGAACAAGTGTCCCCTCCACGCATTGAGGACTTATTGAATCAACTCAGAGAAACAATAGTAGGATGACTTATTGAGTATTTCATATAAAGGTAAAGCTCCTATGCACGAATGACAGTGAACGCTGAGAAGGCCATGGAAGTCAAATTAGAACATAATAGGGCAGTTGATTGCTTTAAATTTTAAATTAGTAGATGATATATCGCATTGAGTTTCAGTTAGAAGTTGTTCAGATATTTTACTACAATTTGTTTAAAACTATGTTCGGTTGAATTTCATGTTTTGAACTTGGACTTATTCTAAAGATGTTTAGAATGAATTTCCGCATATATGACTTGGGTTGACGTCACTAATTAGGTTAAGAAAATTAAGAGCTAGATCTAGAGAAAAAAATATATCTAGATAATGAATTCTATGTCCTTTAGGTTTGAGGCTTATGGATTTTACTCAGAAACTAGCACCACCAGAGTTCATCTCGCACTAGGTTAGCTACAATAAGCATTCGAGAGAACGGCTACAAGAATACAGCAAAACAGAGTGCAGGGTTAAACCTTCCAACAAATATATAGAACAAACCAGTACAATGAAACAAAAGTGATAAATAGATTGACTAAAATGCTTACTGGCAGAGAAGATGAAGCACTGGAAAACCCAAGCTCCTGGTAACCTAAACATTTGATCCAACAGAATTGCATTGCATCGATTAGAAACAAATAAAATTGTGAACCCATAAGAAAAAAAAAAAGAAGAAAAAAAATCTCTAAACCACCATAGCCATGAAGAGGGAGCGAAGCCCCGTGGCGAGAGAGAGAAACGGCTTCCATGGACAAAACACGAGCAAAGCTTGAGCAGAAGAAGGGTTTCACAAACCAGAGCCGCTCTATTTCATGAGAAATTGCGTCTAAGCTTAGGCTGAGAATTAAAAAAAAAAATGATAAACAACCAAGACAAGAACTCCAATCACCATAGCTAAGTCAAACACGCTTGCGTACAAACATCGACAATTTAAGCCTAGAAACAAACTTGGGATGAGATGATTTTGGTTCAATCAGATGAATCAGAACAAAAGGTAGAAAACCATGATGTTGGACGGAATATTCAACAGGACGTTGCAAGGTAGAGTTGTTGATGAATTGAAGTGATTACCAGAACCGAGAGAATAGAGAACCCAGAAATGGCGGACGATACAGAAAGCGAAGAGAAAAGGGTAGGGCAAAAGCTCGTCTTCTTCTTCTTCTTGCAGAAGAAATCACAAGGAATGGGCAATATTCGTATCTGTACAAGGGTATTTGATCGCAATCAGTATCGATATGGGCTCTGGGGATGGCCACTCTCGATAACAGTTAGAGCCGGTTCGGTTTGGACTTTTCCTTCGGAGCATATCCGTCTTTTCATAAATTTAAAAAAAAAAAAAAAAAAAAAATATATATACGTTATCAACTCAAATGAATTCTCCACTATTATTTGACAAATTTGTTCTTTTGAAACTGTTTTTCAAATACATTATTTCAGTTATAAACTCATTTATTTATTTTAAATTAAAAAAAATACACAACATTAGTACGTTATAACTTATATAATATTTTAAATGCTAAATTAATAATAATAATAAAACATTCGTAAACTTTCCACTTTGTCCATTGAATTAAAAAAAATTAAAAATATACCTGTAATTTTTTATGAAAATTGTTAAAATGTTTAAAAATGGACTAAATTAATAAAATATTCCTAACTTTCTACCTTGTTTGAGAGTACATCAAAATTTTCTAAAGTTTCAATAATATTTTTAAATTTTTAAAATTTTCAAAAATGCTATTACCATTAATTTTGGATGGAACCGGTGCTACCTTATTTTAAAAATACCATTGAATGTTTAATAGAATTTCAAAAAAAAAAAAATCTTAAACTTTAAAAAATGTCATTAATACCTTTCATCTCTTTTTATAAAATTAAAAAATACCCTTGTCTAGTATATGTTTAATAAATACCTATGAAGTTTTAAAAATAACATTAACATCATCTACCTTTATTTAAAAAGTTCAAAAAAAAATTAATGATAAAAAATTGTAATACTCCTAATTTTTCTTAACCTAATTAGTGACGCTACATTGCATGCATAAGACATAATGTGGAAGCTCATATAAAATAACTTCGAAAATAACGGCATGCATAAGACATAACATGGAAGCTCATATAAAATAACTTCGAAAATAACGTCATGGTCTTAAACTAGTTCAAAACACAAAATTCAACCTAACTCAGGAAATCATTCAACAACTAAAACCAAAAAAATTAAATGCAAACATTTATTATTCAAGATGAAACTCAAACAAAACATTCTTTGCCCTATAAAGCCCCCATTCCAACTTTCATGGTCTTCACAACGTCTACCGTCAACCGTGCATGGGAGCCTTGTCTTTACCGGAAAAATAGGATAGCACATAGCTTGAGTATTTTATGAAATACTTAGTAAGTCACCCCACTTTGGGGTTAGGTGTATAGTACACATGTAAATCACATGCAAAACATGAGTGGGACCTGTCTTCCATTCACTTTGTATGGCCTTAGGCCCTTGCTTTATCCGGGCAAGGTGGATGTGTAGTACTTCTCCACACACGGCCCACGTACATGTACATGGGCCTAGTAGGCGGGCTCGTATACGAGCTCCCTAGGCCTGGCATGGTCGGTCATTACACGTCACCAGACGCCACGGAAAAGAAAAGGTCTACATGATATCATAGCGAGCATAATATTGAACGTACGCGTCTGTACCATCATAACATAATGGGGGAGTATCTGTAACGCCCCTAATTTTCTTTAACCTAATTAGTGACGTCACCCGTGCATATATAACTCATTAAGCAGAAGCTCATCATAAATAACCTTGGAAGAGTCTTTCATAAAGGTTCATAAATCCAAAACAAAACCTATCTCTGAAAATAAACGTTCAATAACTAAATTCAAAATAAAACAAAACTCAATACTATAACTTAAAACAGTGCAATAAAAGTAAACTCCTAGAAAAATATCCCCTCTCCAACTTACATGGTGTCCTCAGCTCCGCCGTCAACCGTACATTGGCGCCTTGCCTTTACCTGAAAAATGTAGGTAGCACGTGGTATGAAATACTCAGTAAGTCACCCCACTGTTGGGATTAGGAATGCAAACACATGCAACATATGAGCGGGACGTAACTTTTCATAAACTTTTCATAGCCTTGGGAGCTTTCCTATTCTGGGTAGGGTTGGGTGTGTGGTACTCCTTCACACACGGGCCATGTACGTGTACATGGACCCACCAGGCAGGCTCGTAAACATACCCCCTGGGCCTGACTTGGTCGGGCACAACGTGTTACACGTAGTCGGACACCACAGAACAGAAAAGGGCCCGCATGATACCATGGCGAACATAAATATCGTATTTCATTATTTCGTAACATAAAGGGGAAGAATCCCAATGCACGTGACATACATATATGCATGAGGTCCCTTACCTTATCTAACATGGCATTACATAAGTAGTGCTAACATCGCATATACATTTCTTACATTACATGGCATCATACATGACTTACATTACATGGCATATTACATAACATGAAAGTACATTCTAGTTGCATAAACATCTCATGACATGACTCGATAATTCTACGTGTATCTATGACATTGATCAACATATTCATGGCATATAATACTAACATCTCATTCGTAACTTCACATAACATAAACAGTCAACAGTCAACATCATTCATACATCATATAACTTACACAATCTACAGTCAACACAATCTATACATCACATAATCATATCACATAAATATGGTGCATGTAGGGACCACAGGGCACGCACCATCATACAACACGTAGTAAACTAACTCCAACAGTAAGGTCACTTACCTCGATGGTCTTGGTTGAAGTCACTCACAACGAGCTAATCCCAGCGGTTAAATATGTCCTATGATAACCACATAAAAATTTAGAACCTTTCATAAGGTAGCCTAGTTAAACCTCATGCTATTTATCAAAATAAACCCCTAACCTAAGTTGTCTTTAACGTTTAGGGACCATACTGACCTGGATGGTAAAACTGAGGGCAGAAACTCGGCCAAAAACCTTGGAATCGATATATTATAGGGATACCTTGCCGCTAAGCCTAGTTGCCGAGCCGGCCAACTAAGCCACCAAGTCGAGCTGCGGGAATTGACGGAACCGAGCCGATTTCGTACACGTGCGAAGCTGCTGGAGCTGCTGGATGTGCGTCTGCGGCTCGACCCTATTCCAAAAACCTTGCCCTCCTTACCCAATTCTTCCTCTGAAGAGCAACCCCAAGGTTCCGGAGGAAAGTTTGGAGAGAAAATCTTTTTCAAGGGAGGTAAAAGGTTGGGCATAGGAATATAAGAATAATATGAAGACATTTGCATTCTAGGATTTTAGGATAAGGAAACTCACACAAATAGGAATGTTTGTATTAGGTAATAAAAGTCCAACACCAATCTTTCTATTTTTGGGATATTACATTTAATTATTTATTTTATTTTTAGGTAATAACTTCCTGGTTGAAAATTGCACCTTTTACGGCGAGAATATATGCATAACATAATATCTTGTCATATATAGAAATAAAATAAAATCTTAACCCAATCAGACAAAAATGAAAAATCTGAATCGTTACAGTATCCTTATGCATGTGACACACAAACATACATAAGGTCCCATGACGTACCTTACATGGCATAATACATTTTACGTTTCATTTTCTTTTTGCATTCCATACCATGGCTCAGTTAAGTAGAGTGTATACATGGCAACATTCTTCAGTCCATCACATTCATACATGTAAGACTTCCATAGCATTCATAGCATATGAATTCATTCATGGAAACAATGTAATAGATTGCATGCAAGTAAACAATTCATGACAATACAAGAAAACATAGGCATGACATAACATTGACATTTCACATCAAATATGACTCATGCAAGGGCCACAGGACACGCACCATCATACATATAGTAAGCTAACTTCAACAGTGAAGTCACTTACCTTGTTGGCCTTGGCCGAAGTTTACTCCCGATGAGATACTCGCCACGTTACTACAATCCCAACACCTAACTATTTTCTATAAAAACCACATAACAAGCTTAGGGACTATTCATATCATAACTAAGCTAAACTTCTTGTTTAACTACCAAAAGTAAGCCATAAAGTAATATAATTTGGCAATTAAGAGTCTGACCTCAAATGGCAAAAATAAGGGCATAAATGTCTTCACAAGTGTCAAAAACCTAGGAAACGGTATGTTATATGTATATCGAGCCGCCAAGCCGAGCCGAGAGGAGCCACCTGGTCACGTGGAAGCCGAGAACGTGCAACACGGGCTCCTAGTCTTCCCGCTAGTCTGAACAAGGTTGGGCCTGGGCTTACGTCTGGTCGTGAGCGATGGGCCAACGTTTTCACTCAGGTCGATATAGAAGGTCATGGGTAGAGAGTGGGCAGATTGAGTTTTGGGTTGTGAGCTGGGTTGGGTGGTGCGTGCTCGCAGGTACACAAACGCCGAAAACCCGACCCGATCCAATCCCTCTTCTTCCTTACCCGCGAACAATTCAAAGACCCTAACTACGATATCCCCTTTTCGATTCCAAAGAGACCGACGCCCTCATGTTCGTTCTTGCTACCGTTTTGTCTGTCCCTTCTTTTTATGCAACACCACGACGTTAGTTCGCTCTTACCCAAGAAAACTCACTAAAAACTCGAAACCTCGCGATGTTTTCCGATTTCTCACTTCAAACCCTTATGTTTTTCTCTCATAGGCACAACAACGACAATCAATGGAAAAGAATAGCTATTTAGGTACTGTTAGAAGAATTTGATTAGGTAAAAAAGAGTCGGAGTATTTTGAGGGATCTAGTTTAATTATTTTTCAGATTTGTTACGAGATTTGTTTATAAGATTTGTTTCCGTTTCTAAGATTTGTGGTTAGTTTCTATTTAGGTTATTTCTAAGGCTATCACTCCCAACTTCAATTGTTTATGTTCATGGCTTAGTTATGTCAAAACCTAACAATTGGTATCAGAGCCGCAATTTTTGAGTGATCAAATAGAGAGAGTATGAGAGAAGACAAAGTTTTAACAAGGATCCCTCACTTCAATGGTCACTATGAACATTGGAGTGAGCTGATGGAAAATTTGCTCAAAGCAAAAGGTCTATGGAGCGTGGTGGAGATTGGTTTCTTAGAACCAGAGGAAGGAACAACGTTGACTGAGGCACAAAAGAGCTATCTTGATGATGATAGACTCAAAGATCACCAAGTAAAGCATTACCTTTTCTAGGCAATTGATCGTACTGTCTTTGAACAAAT